GGTTTATTATGGCTATGTTAAAATCACAAAACTGTATGCTGTCACTATAGTAAGATGGTGACCTTTAACTGCTGTTGGTATTTAATATTTGCTGTAATACTTGATTTCATTTGTGGTTCCTATTCCCTGCATTACTTCAAAAATAGCTAGACTTGCATTTGCTTTTGCTAGCATCTATTTAAAACCTCACTCCTGTTACTATTAATATCTAGTTTTACACGCCAGCATCACAGAAGTCCAAATGCACCACTGTCCTTATGAAAAATCCTTCATTTTCTTTTGGTCGTTAAAAAGCTACAGGTCAGTTACTATTAGAAGCCCATTTGCTTGCTTGTTTTTTTAAAAAAAAGCAAAAAGGCATCGAACAAATTCACATAATATTCAGGTCTGCTTTTTCTTAGAATGAAGAAACTGCTTACGCATTTTGATTTATAAATCTGTTTTTCTCATATTGCGCTTTCCAAAGCGTCAGTATTGCTAATCCAGACCCCTACGTCCTCAAACACCGATACAGGGTAACGCAATGTTTTCTGAAGTCTGCCAAGTGCCAAGTGGTGACAAAGCAAAATGAAGACCTGAGCAGCTGCAAATATTGAGAAAGAGCTGTCTAACTGAATTTCATTATTTTGATAGAGCCAGAACATGACTTTTCAAGATGCTCATTTGAATGGTGAGTTCCCCACAGCAACAGAACAAACTCAATGCCCCATAGCTGAAAACTGCATATTGAAGCATTCTGTACAAACAGCACTGCTGGTCATGAGGCAGAGTTTGGAGAGAGGAAAAAATACACTCAGTGGAGGCTTAGGTATGGACACAGACATCACTCCCTGTGGGCCAGGTCTGATTGCAGCACTCTTGAGGTGAGGCTTAGGATGCAAGTGACACGCACAACTCACCTTTAGCCAGTGGCTTGGCTGTGCATCACCCTCCCCTGTCCCCTGCGGCAGAAACAGGGGGTGTCTTATTCACCCAAACAGCAGGAGCTGGGGCACACAGGCACCAGCTGAAGGACAAAGATGGACTTGGGTACTTTGATGCACATAGCTGAAAGTTTGAGTTGAAAACCAAGATCTTCACACTGCGGCTTGTGAAGACAAAAACATTTCATCGACCTCAGAAGATGTGAGGAAATCTCATTAGTTTTATTAGGTCATATAAAGATATGAGACTTATAGTTTGGACTCTGGAAAATGTGCAGCAACAGTAATACTTTGACCCCAGTACATATGCCAGCATGGCCTGAAGCGTACATTAGGGGCTGATCCTGCAACCTCTGCATGTAATGGACTTTGGTGGGCACAACACTTCTTTCACTGGTGTAATTTGACTTCAAGGAAATCAGTGCTGATTTACTCTGGGCATAACTGAGGTGAGGCTTAGGCCTCCTGTTTTTAAGACATTTGAAGAATATACCAAGTATGCATTATAGGTATGTATATAGATATATATATGTATACACACATGGAAATATATGTACGCTATTTCTCTACATCATGGCTACATCCTTAGTTCTATAATTGGCACTACTATACTGGTGTCCAAAGAGATACACTGATTTAACTCAGCAGGGGATCTGGGGATATTCTAGTGTCTAAGGGGGGCCTTTTTTAAGTAGCATCATTTCAAGGAAGAAATACATTTCCTCTGTCCCCAGATAATAAGAAGAGCACAATTTCTCTTCTCCAGGTTTCAGACCAACATCAACTCCTCCCCATGAGTGAAGTGTGAGTGCTGCATTTCCAAATCAGGATCCAGACCTCTGGTCTTGCTCTAGCCAGAGTTGGTTTTGCACACAGAGAGTGTCCTTATTATTTTATTTAAAAAAAAAAAAAAGGCACAGAAAGCCTGGCAAGCTCCTCGTTTACCAAATGCAGCAAAAGGATCAGCTGGAGTCCTCTGCCTCAGTCCCTTGAATTCAGGAGCATGTCACAGCCTACACTGGGGAAGCAGCATAAATAACAACAAACTGAGGAGCAGCAGTAGCAGTCCCCAGGGTTTCCTACTAATCTCCTCCCTGCGACATGCATGCACACACACAACACATGAAGAGCTCCGGGGAGACTTCCACAAGGTGCAGAGAGATGAGCGTGAGTGAGAGGCATTGTCATGGACCTGTTGTTTCCCACTGCTGGGCGATGTTTGACATCCACAGTGCTCAGCTTCTCTTTACCGCAAGGCAACGGAGGCACTGATACCACCCAAGGTGAAGACTGTTCTCACCTTACAATCCCTTACTAATACAGAGGAGCTGGTGGCAGAAATGTACCATCGGGAGCGGCTAAACACAGCCAGGGGCAGCACTGGTTCAGTTGAGGTATTTGTAGCTCACGGTCTTGTTAAAGCAA